GCAGGTGTGATGGATCAAAGAGATATTATAATATCAGGGGCGCATCATGCATGATGACGGGGTGTGGTACAAGTCTTACTCTCACAAAAAAACGTAGTCTCACAAAAAAACTACTGGAGGGATTTCAATGAAATTTGGTATGGTGATAGCTGGTTATCCGGGTCGACATATAAGATACTTTTTACCGCGGGAAAATATCTCATTTCTGAGAACAAATACAAAAACTGCATTGTAAGTGTATACTAATATGTAAAACCTAAGCATTTGCTTTTGGCCACCTGAACGCGGACGGAGCCGCGGGCAATGCTAGTCATAAATATAGTACGAAAAATCATATAAAAAAATCTGTAATTACGAAAACGGTAGCGGGCGGTAAACTTCCTTAAGGATACTGTTGTTGGATCTTATTACATAAAGTTGGGCTTCACCATTCATCATAAGTTTTATACTATATTTACTAACAATAAGTGTTGGTTTCACCATGAGATACAAATATTATTTTTCAACCGACTTCAAAAAGGAGGAGGTTCTCAATTCGACTGTATTTTTTTACAACTTAATTTTTTTGTGTACATCAATAAATAATAATATTAATAGTAAACTCTTTATTGTACGTCAAGAATAAATAAAATAAATAAAAACCAAAAAATATAGATAATATATATACAAGAGGCTGCCTTATCACTAAAACAGTGATCTCTTCCAAGCAATCTTTAGGTGTAGGAAATAGCAAACTGTAAGTGGGAAGCAAATATATATATATATATAATGTAATATACATTTAACCGGTTAAAAAAGAGATATTCACACTATCTCTTTACATATAAAATACTAGCATTGCTCGCGGTTCCGCCCGCGTTCAGATGACCAAAAACCAAATTCTTAGGTTTTACGTATGAGTATAAGTTCTCATACAATGCAGTTTTTGTTAGAGAATGTATTTTTTTTCAGAAATGAGATATTTTTCCGCGGTAAAAAGTATCCTTTTTGTTGACCCGGATAACCAGCTATCACCATACTAAATTTCATCAAAATCCCTCCAGTGGTTTTTACGTGATGCGGTAACAGACAGACAGATAAAAATTCTAAAAACTATAAATTCGGCCTCTGTATCGATAATAATGTTTGTTTCAATAACATTTTCCAAAAAATATTTAATATACAGATTCGGCTTAGTTACAATTTTATTGTATGTATAGATATCTACTGAGGAATATTAGACTTCTAAATGTAACCTTATAAAATGCTAAACGATAAAAATATGATTAATGAGATTCCTTTCATATCTTATTCCCGTAACTTATTTATCGTTGGAATCAAATTTGCTGTAACGAGACAGAATTATCATAAATAGAGCCTTATTAGATTTGAATAAGCATTTTGTATGTAGGATTATGATATTTTCGACTTTTCATTTGCTTATTTTGCGTTACATTAATTTTATATAGCTTGTTTATACTATTATTGTATTCAGCCCTTGTTAACGTCCCACTGTTGGGCGTGGGCCTCCCTTCAATACGAGGGGGATCAGGTCGTAATCCACCACGCTGGCTAAGTGCGGGTTGGCGGACTTCACACGTCTTTCGAAAATTTGCTAGGTTCTCTCAGACATGCAGGTTTTTATGCAGGCTTTACCGTAAGGCAATACCGTAGTAATTATGTAGGTAATGATATGCACATGAAAATCTTATAGGTATTCGACCCGAGATTTGAACCCACTTCACCCGGTTTCTCAAGCGCGTTACCACTGCCTAGGTAGGTAATTATTTAATAACTAGCAGAACCCGCGGCTTCGCTCGCGCTAAACTACAATAAAAACTCTAAAAAGTTAGGTTTCATACAAACTTCCATCTCCTATTTTACGCCCTTATGGGATGAATTTCGAAAAATGCTAAAAGACGTATTTATTTAATCGTATTGAAGGGCATTAATACTAAGCTTCAAGTAATTCTGACTATAAATAATTTTTTGGGTAGTCTTTTATCGTGTTTTCCCCTGGGAATGAGATAATCTCCCGCGGCAAAAAGTAGCCTATGTCACTCTCCAACCCTCCAACTATCTCTACACAAAAAATTACGCCAATCCGTCTCTTCATTTGGACGTGAAAGAAGGACAAACAAACAAACACACTTTCACATTTATAATATGGATATAATTTTTAAACTCGCTACCACTCTTAACTTGCCGTATGCAACATAATGAAATCAAGCCGCTCAGTGGATCAGCAACACGTGGGTTATAGGCTCGTAGGTACCTGCATACTATGTTGTTTATATATTTGAATATGTCTGTGAACTTTTTAAATCAATATGGATGAAGCTTAACAATAATTTTTATATCAAAAAAAGACTGAAAATACCTTAAAAGCTATTATTTTTACTCTTAAGAATCAAAATTTATTTATGTGCAAGTTTTTATACCTATCTCTTTAATTGAAAGGATCTCTATTGATCTCTGTAGAGGTCAAGGAGAAAATTTGGAAAGAATGACTTAGTAATGTTCTTCCGAAAGTTATAATATATAGCACTACTAGCAGTACCCGCGGCTTCACCCGCGTTCAAACTTCCGATCGCTTACAAATTTTTGGATCACCCACTGTTCTAATCTGAAGATTGCCTGGAAATTTCATCAATATCGCTCCAGCCGTTTTGTGAGTCAATAGGAAACACACATACGCACATACATTTTTAAAATAATGTAAAATAATGCCTGTTTGCGCGTGTGACCGGCAGCATTACTGACATAGTTTTTCTGCTCCCATTTCCAATCTGTAATCGTAAGGAATTTTTTTCCAATCATTGAAATCTGTTGCATAGATTTTTAATCAAATCCGTTCAAACATACATACAAAGAATTTTATAAAATTAGTATAGATAAAAAAATATTACAATGATCATATTAAATTAAGAAAATTTCATAACAATACTAAGTCAGAAAAAAATTTCTATACTATTTTATTAATCGATTTCAAACTTTAGAGTTCAAAAACTTATGATGGCTTTCGGAGTGCAATATAACCTCGTAAAACTTTTATTTCTAATACTAGAAATTTTAAAGTAAAGTACACACAAGGAGCTTTTCCATTTCTCTCGAAAAGAATTACAACTCGAGTCGTTAACACTTTGTTCCGAAGTAATTTACTTAATTAAGGACTAAAGTCAGTTTTACAAAGAACCTTTAATATTAACTAAGAAAGTCTAGGTATTTTATCTTCGCAACAGGTTTAAGATGAGTGCACACTAATGTTGAGTGTTACACACACTATAGCATAATTATACGAGTATATAGGCTCTTATAAAGAAACAAATAGGGTTATTTGATATCTATCTATACGAGTATAATTATATTTCTTTCTTCTTCAGATATAATATAACTAGGTAGTCCCTTTAACCTATAAGGTAGCTTTCGCACACATTTAAGAGATTTAAAAAAAAAGTCGATACGTATATCGATTTTTAAATCAATTCGTTACTCGCCAATGTCTACGTCTACACTACTCAATGCCGCCATTCTTTTTTCGTGCGAGGTAGCAAGCACATGTATACTCTTCGGGTAAAAATTCCAAATGAAAGTGAAAATGTTCAAGAAGAAAATATAAATAACAGGATACATGTAGGATACTTTTTATTGCGGTAAAATATCTCATCTCTGAGAAATTTATACTATTCGTTGATAACAGCATAGGATGTCCGCATCTTAACATAACCAAACCGAAACCCTTACATTATGAAAATACTTATAAGAAAATCGAACCCGAAATATTTTGCGAAATAAACAATGTTAGCCACTGTAGTCACATGTTTCTACAAATTGTATAGATACAGTTTTTTAGATAGTTATAAGTAACTTCACTTTTATCATTTTAAAAACCACCGAGTTATTTTTTGTACGCAGTCCAAAGTCATTTATCTCGTAATGTCGTTTTTTCCGACACGCTTTTTGGCACGTACAGCGTTCAACGGTCAACTATCGACATTTTTTTTGTAAGTGTTGCTCTTTTCATAATTGACGTAGAAGTATATTTCAGTCACGTTTTTAGAACACCATTATCTTATTACAAATACTAGCGACTCACCAATACAAACTTTCATCCCCATTTCACCCACTTAAGGGATGATTTCCGGGATAAAAAGTATCCTATGTCCTTCCCAGGGTCTCAAACTCTTTTCTTACCTAATTTCATCTAAATCGGTTCTGTAGAGCCAAAGATTACCCCCTACAACATTACAAACTCACAAACTTTACCTCTTTATAATATTAGTATAGATTAGGTTAATATTACTTTGCTTAGTTATTTTAATTTTTAAGCAAACTATTTGCTATACATCAGTGGCGGAGGGTGAAATTTTAGCAGAGGTAAGCCGTTCCAAAAATATACAATTATATTAATATAAATAATAAAGTTTATATATATATATATATATATATGCTTTAATAATATATATATATTCGAAAGCATATTTATACATTTAAAAAATTAAATGTATGTAAAATTATAGCAAAATAATGTTAAGGCACGAGTATGACGTCTTGTGGACCCCTCGCCACTGCTATACATGTGTCAAAGTAAACTTTTGGATGTTATCTTTTGAATTACTAATCAGCTAGGATATTAATTCAGAATATTTCATGAGTCTAGTGGCTAGCTTGTACATAACAGATCGGGAAGCCCTGGTGTGATTCCCGTATCAGCCCAAACTCCTATAGTAACTATGTAGAAGTGGTTCCGCCGTGGCCGGAATCGGCTAGGAAAACATCATCATCATCATTGTTGTGTTTTGTTATATTCAATTCTAGTGACACCCTTGTAAAATGTCGACGCTTTTTTGTTCTATAAATACTTGGTGTATTCGACAAATGGACTTCTTTGAAATCTCTAAATGATTGTAAGAACCGTATCAAAATATAGCAAGTAAATGTTGTGCAGTTATACTTTACAAATAGACAAACATGAATAGTGAATATATTTTATATGATTTAATTTTCTTTCATTATCTCAGGCAGGTGCGGTGAGGCCAGTCCTTGTGAGCAGCTGTGCAGGGAGCTCCACGATGGCACCTACGAGTGCGGCTGCGGGCCCGGATATGTACTGCATGTGGATGGATATGGTTGTTTAGGTAAGTAGGTTCGATTATATATTAATCCATTAAATAGTATAGTTAGGTAATGTTCATTATAGTACTACTATAGCAGATGAAAAGTTTCATCCAAAATCGTCCACCCGTTTCAGTGTGAAAGAAACATATACACAAACAAATATTCGCATTTATAGTAAGAAGTCTGGTTCTTTGCAGCATTTCCTTAAAATTTAAATTCGTCTTGTGGTTTTCTCGTGATGCGTTCCTAGACAAACGGACAAAAATTCGAAAAACTATATATTCTGCCTCTGTATCCATAATTATGGCTATTTCAATAAGATTTTACAAAAAATATTTAATTTACAGATTCGACTCAGTTAGAATTTATAATATATGTATAGATAGATTTCCCCTGCTGTATCTACTGGATGTAGACTGACTACGGTTATATAATATGAAATTGCATGAACCACAACAAGATCATTCCATAAGCTCAACCCTTAGCCACACAATAATTATTGTTCATCGTACAACTAAAAGGAAATATTATATTTCAGTTGAAATTAAATTGATTTTAAACTTTTGCACGCGATATTTCCACGAAGCATCATTATAAATTCTAGCAGCGAACTAAAAAATGTGAGTGGAGTTTAGCAGAATTGACGAGCGGCTATTAATCAACCGACATCTGCTATCATAAATCAAAACGTGTGTGCTAAAGCTGTGAGCACTTATATGACTAAAACTCGTAAGCGTTACTTTAACTGTGTAATGCTAAATGTTACGTTAGTATTGAACCCTTTTTTTAACATGCCACTGCTGGGCAGGAGCCTCTGTACAATACAATCAGGCCATAATCCACCACGCTGGCCAAGTGCGGGTTTAAATAAATAAATGTGTTGGGCCATTAACACAAAGCACCATCTAGTTCCATGGTAAGCTACGGGGCTTGTGTTATGGATACTAGATAGTTGATACACTACACATATATCAATTTAAATACATACATATTATTAATATAAACACCCATGACTGGAGTATAAATATTCGTGCTCATCCCAGCCGGATTCGAACCCGCGACCGCTGACACAGCAAGTAGGGTCACTACAAACTGTTCAAAACGTGTCAAACGTTACGGAATTCACGTGTCTTTCGAAAACTTGATAGGTTCTCTCAGACATGCATGTTTTCTTTCACCGTATCACGATGTTTGTCACAAACAAACAAACTTTCACATTTATAATATTAGTATGGATTTGTAGATTATTCTTATTTATAACTGGAATTGAAATAGTGACCAAATCTTTATAGAAATACTGGTTGTGAGCAACTTAAACGTACATATTAAAGTAATTTGTGTTCAACACAAAGCTTGGATTACGAGAATAGTGCAGGATATCGTGGTTATATTTAGTGCGGCTATTTCCTCAGAAGAATACCCGATTATCTAAGTCTGTGCCTTGAGCACACCTACATTATCTATACCATATAATAATACTATAATATTATAAAGAAATAAAGTTTGTGAGTTTGTGACGTTGTAGGGGGTAATCTCTGGATCTACTTGGCCGATTTAGATGAAATTTGGTAAAAAGATAGTTCAAGACCCAAGGAAGGTCATAGGACACTTTTAATCCCGGAAATCATTGCCGAAGGGGGTGAAAATGGGGTGAAAGTTTGTATGGAGAATCAACTTAGGGACGAACGTGAGTCGCTAGTATCTAATAATACAAGTGGGACCATATGGATATCTACCATTTTTACTCAATATTTCGATAGTGCTTGCAATCATAAATATAGCTTAAATCACATTAGTTTCAAACAATCATATTTAAACTTTATATACATAATAATATGTATTCGATATAAAATCGATTTTGAAATATTTCCAGTGGCGAACGGCAAATTCAATTTATGGCAGAAAGTTGTCTTATTCGATCTTCTACTGCCAACGAAAGGCTAAAATTATCGAAACGAGGAACACAATTTCTCTTAAAGAATAAAGGCTTTACGAGATCATCTACTTACTTCAAACTAAACCCTTTCTTGTTAGGCTTTCAATTATATTTCATCAAAATGAATGTGGACTTCAAAGAAATGTCAGTAAGTGATTTCTATCTTAATATTGTACGAGTATATATAGTAACTAGCATTGCCTAATTGTTCAGATGACCAAGAACCAAATTCTTAGGATTTACATATTAGTATACTCTTACATTGCAGTTTTTGTATTTTTTCTCAGAAATGAGATATTTTCCCGCGGTAAAAAGATAACCAGGCTATCACCATAAAAAAAATTATCAAAATCCCTCCAGTGATTTTTCTGTGATGCGGTAACAGACAGACAGCCAAAAAATCTAAAAACTATCGATTCGGCCTCTGTATCGATAATGTTTATTTCAATAAGATTTTCCAAAAAATATTTAATGTACAGATTCGGCTTAGTTACATTTTATCATATGTATGGATTAATGTTTAATAATATTGTATAGACGTTAAAGGTCTTATTGGTCTAGTGGCCAGCATGTAAGGCTACAAATCTGAAGATTCTGGGTTCGATTAAGTAAAGCTTCTCAATGGATTTTTTCTCTTGTTAGGCTTTGGAAGTATACGTAGCAAATCAACCCTTATTGATTTACCAGGATTTAATACATAATCTTAATATAGTGCTGTAATAATGCAATATTCAAATAAAAATATATTTTCCGATTTTTTTGCGGATTTATTTAGATTTTTGCTTCCAGATATTTCAGTTGCTTTACAGCAAACATGGTTATGGGATTAAAATGCCAAAAATTCGCGTAAATCTAAAAAAGTATTATCGATAATTCAATTCAATTTTCTTATTAAATGGTTTTAAACGTGGCACGTTCAATATAATAGATTTTTTCCCCAATGTCACGTACAATGAAGAAATCAGGGGTAGAATGAAAGCCGAGACGGTAAAACGTAATTATTATATTATGTAAATTCTACTTCCTCATTTTTAAATAACATTTGTGGAATTACTAATGTTAAACTAAACAGACAAGAATTTCGTTTTATTTTTCAAAGACCATTTTACAATTTAAAAAAAAAAGTAGAATAGAATATTTATATAATAATAATAATAATAACAGTATATATATGAATGGTCATATAATTAAATAAATATAAATAAAATAAATATGTTGGGACATTAACACACGGCACCATCTAGTTCCAAGAAAAGCTACAAGGCTTGTGTTATGGATACCAGATAGTAAATACACAACACATACATAATTTTAAATACGTACATATTATAAATATAAACACCCATGACTGGAGTATAAACATTCGTGTTCATCACACAAATGAATGCCCCCAGCGGGACTCGAACTCACGACCGCTGGCACAGCACGTAGAGTCGTAGAGTCATTACAAACTGAGCCAAACGTATCGTCGTATACATTATAGCACTAAAAGCATAGTACATAGAGAAACACTGAATAAAATGAGACCGAATTTATACCTATACTAGTATTGCCCGCGGCTCCGCTCGCGTTCAGATGACCAAAAACTAAATTCTTAGGTTTTACATATAAGTATACTCTTACAATGCAGTTTTTGTATTTTTTCTCAGAAATGCGATATTTTCCCGCGGTAAAAAGTAACCCGGATAACCAGCTATCATCATGCCAAATTTCATCAAAATCTGTCCAGTGGTTTTCTCATGATGCGGTAACAGACAGACAGACAAAAATTCTAAAAACTATAGATTCGGACTCTGTATCGATAATATTTCAATAAGATTTTCCAAGAAATATTTAATGTACAGATTCGACTTAGTTACTATTTTATTATATGTATAGATAATAACAACAGAAATAAGTTAAATCGAAAGCATTACCCTGTTTTCAAATCAACAGTGCACAGCGCTTGAAGATTCAAGTCTTCAAGTGCTTTTATCGCAGAATACAATATGATGAACACTGAGAATAAATCGCTGCTTTATATAGTAGTATGCTAAACTGACACTCGTACTAAGTTTATGTTTTGTTTTATATATATTTGTATCATTTCTACAAATGTTTTTCAATTCAAAAGCACCTTTAACTATATATATATATATATATATATATATATATATATATATATATATATATATATATATATTATTTATTTCTAAAATAGCAGCTCACCCTCGCTTCGCTCGGGTTCGTCGCTAGGTACGTTTTAAATAGATATGAATAGTTATTAGCCAGCGTTAGCCATATACATTTTTTTTAGTTAATAATATTGACAAATATTGACATTAATATTTATACGTAACTAAAGTCACTCAATTGTTTTGCCTTCCCGGAACCTCTCCACTAACACTTAAACTTTATGGTATGGTATTAATGTTCAAATTGACTTTTAAGTATTATTATGAATCATTTGCATGGGAGTATAGAAAAGTGTTGATTTTAGACTTTTTCAGGCAATTTTTTAAATTTTTCTCTCTGTAAGAACCATCCTCGTACTTCAAGGAATATTTAAAAAATAGAATTAACGAAATCGGTTCAGCTGCTCTCGAGATTTGCGCTCAGAATGTGTATTCAGCGATTCATTTTTATATTATAGAAGATTAGCAAGCAACACTTGCAGTTCTGCTGGAATGGCTATTGGCTATACCTGGCTATATATAATATTATGTTTATAACTGTAACTTAGATATTTAAAAGAGCAACTGTTGAGTTTCTCACTGGCTCTTCTCAGTAGAACTCCTTTCCGAACCGGTAGTAGCTTCCGCACGGACTGACTTCACTGATGCTTTTGATATTAAATTAAAGATTTAAAAGTGCTTATAGTAAGTCTATTTGAATAAATTTCATTTCATTCTGCTAGCATAGTTTTTTGTGTAATTTATCCGCTTCTAAGAACAATAATCTACTTTGTAAAGTTCTAAATAGCCCACTAAAAGCGTAAAGATTTTTTTAAGCCAGATTGCTTGTTGTTGTTTCAGAGTCGATTGCATTATCAAACAAATAAAAATACAAATTCCTTTGTACCACTAATTCGGTTATTTTTATTAC